TATTTATATATATATATTGTTTGAGTATTTTCAAAATTAAGTTGAGTTTTTAAAAAAAATGAATAATACAAGTGCTTAAAAATAAAAGTTGAAATAAAATAAAAATGGATCAATCTCTATTCATATATATATATATCTGTGTATGTGTGTTTTGAGTGTTTTCCAAAGCAATCACATATAAATATGTTTTATTTCAAAGTAAAACATAAGCAAAATGAAATAAAATAAAAAATAAAAGTAACCCCAAATGAAATTTCCTTATATAAGGCTATGTAGCCCAAAAATGTACAAGAGATACAATATTTTTTAAAATAAAAGCTTAAAAAACAAGATAAACATAATGGATATTAGCTTGCCCAAAAACTTCCTTGGTGTCAAGATTGCCCAATAATTATTTGGTAATCTTTTTTACACAAATTAAAATGTTATTTATAAACTCCCAATGGCAAGCGGGCGCTGTGTTGTCATGTCTTTTGACAAAAATATCAATGAAACAAAATATGTGCATTGGATTGACTTTTTAGATGGTACTATTATCCATTAACTTATATTAAGAAAATTTTTGTACATAACTTTTACAAAATAAAATTCTTTTCTTCATTATCAATTCCATCAGTCAATTCTACGAGCTCCAAATACTCATTTTAAGATAAGGGACATCCTATAATTGGAATATGCTTTCATACTCAAGTCATTTGCATTTAATTACATACTTTGATTTTGATTGAGATAGATGTCATATCATTGGGTATTTTACAAGTGAGCATTATGTCTTACTTGATCATAACCCATTCTCTTAATATAAAAATTAGCATCTCACTTTTATATCATGTTTTGAAGTTGGGTGTAGAGTAAGGGCCCAAGCAAAAAGTGAAATAAAATGGTTGGTTTTCTTTCTTTTTTAGCCAATTATGGCATTCTTCCTTTTACTCTAGCCATTATGTTTTATGACAACCTTATTGTTATTCGCACCATCAATAATCATGTCTTTTATGAGCTAATCAATAATATTTAAATCACTATAAGAGAAGATGATTTTTGCATTTGCTATTTGCGTCAAATTTTTCGAACACAAAGTTTAGTGTCTGCTTTGCGACCGTTTAGCGGTAAAAAATATATTTTAATGTTTGCATAAGATTTTACATCTGTGTTGCGTCTGACAATTGGACGGAAAAGTCTTTTAAGAATAGTGAAAGCGTTTTTGCAGTAGCGGCGCAAATTGTGTCGAAGTTACGTTAAAAAATCGACGCAAAACATTACTTGTTAGCGTTGAACCAAATTCAACACAAATATAACGGAAAGTCCTACGAAAATGACCTAAAATACATATCCAGTGTGCCTAATATTCATTTCTTCTTTCACTCTCTCGTCTTCATCCATTCTGCCCGAAACCCTCGTTCTCTCTCTCCCATTACCCTTTCCCTCTCCCCCTTGCGGTTTTGATCAAAACCATGGCCCCACACTCGATCCTTCACAGCGCAATCGCCATTAGAGCAAGCTAGGAAGGCATCTTAATGAGACCACTAAAACTCCCACATTTCACATCCTTCAACGCTCCAATCGAAAAATATTGAGGATGGTAATGTTATTTGCTCCAATTTTTTTCATTATGACTATTGAAAAATGAACTGGCTTTCTAGCATATGTAATGTGATGTGAATGTACAAATTGATGTTTAGGTGTTAGGTTTTGTATATACTTAAGAATTTAGTGATATCTATATTAGCTTTGGCATAGTTTATGTGGTATATACATAAAGAGTTTAGCGGTATGTATGCAATGAATTGAAGTTTAGATGTTAGCTATGTATATATTTCAGTAGTTTGTATGCAATGTGTTTTTTACATTGAGTGATATGTATGAGAATTTAGCTAGATGAGGATGTCATTAGTAGATTTCAAGTTGATTGGTAAAAGCAGTGGAGTAATGCAATGGTTCTATTGTTCAAAATGATGTTGATATAGATGGGAATGTTATAAAAAGAATTCAAGTTTGTTTGTTGAAGTAGTGGAGTAATGCATTGATCGGTTCTATTGTTTAAAATGACGGTCATATGGATGAGGATGTTATTTTTAGAATTCATGTTGACCAATTGAAGTGGAGGAACACACTGGGTCTATTGTTTAAAGTGATAGTGATATAGATGGGAATGTTACAATTTATGGGATTCAAGTTTGCTAGTTGAAGTGGAAGAATGCATCGAGTTATTGCTCAAAGTGAAAGTGAAATATAGATGGGATTTTATTAGTAGAATTAAAGTTGGTTGGTTGAAGTGGAGGAATGCATCAGGTTGTCGTAGATCGAGTGGGCCTTGACACCTAGAGACAAAAATGATAAATTGATATTTACATGATAGGGACGAGTCGTAGACAAGATTAGATAGAGATACCAACTAATGAGCCTTCAAAGATCCTGGACGAGTCGTAGACAAGATTAGATAGAGATACCAACCAACTAATGAGCCTTCAAAGATCCTAAGTTCTCCTTGACCAAGTAATGTCGACTATACATATTGATAAGTATTGACTAATTTTTATCTTCCGTAGCAGCTAAACTGATCTGTAAAACTATATGTATATTGTAGATGGATATCCGTAATTTGAGAGCTTGGGTATATAACAAATTATATCTAGGAGAAAAAGGGCTCACAGATGAGTTCTTAAATGGCCTTCAGGAATTCATTTAGCTGTCCATCTATCATTCTAAGGGTAAGTTCCAATGTGCTTGTGTGAAATACAAAAATCAAACGCTTTTGCCACTCAAAGAAGTTAAGTTGGATCTTTACCACAAGAGATTCAAACCTAATTATTGCTACTGAATTGCATGGTGAACAAGGATTTGATGTTCAGTTCGATCAAGGAGGTGCCTCGGCAAGTTATGCCCCCTGCAACGAAATTTGATCTTGACACATATGAAGAAATTGTTCATGATGCTCAGAGAGCTCAATTTGTTGGGAGTATTCAACACAAACATGAAACACTAAATAACGAATCACAACAGTTCTATGACTTACTGAACTCTTCAAAAAACGTTTTTGGGATGGATGCATTGCACATATAGAGTTATCAATGGCGCTCAGTATTGTTTGTGATGGCTCTTAGGCCACATGATTACTTAAGGTAATCTCAAGTAGGTGCTTGAAAGAACCCAAAGCAATGGTCTTCTCTTGCGCACCGAAAACACGGGTGTGTATATATATATATATATATATATATATATAACTATATCATTATAGCTTGTGTGGTCATGTGATTTTGCGTTTATGTTTTTTATTTCATAGGAATGCTACAGGTTCAATTCCAACACTCTATATCTATTTTTCTAATTAATTTAAACAAACCAATTTCGAGCTAAACACGAGCCCAACACAAACAACAATATATAAATCGAGTCGAGCATGAGCATACTATTTACCATCAATTTCAAATACAAGCCTATTTTGAACTTAATTAATTTTGAATAAGTTGAACACAAGCTAATCATGTGCTCGCTCAAAATTAGCTCATTTACAGTGCTGTAGACAGGTGTTGATTTTTGAGATGCAATTGTTTGTCAATGGATATCGAACAATAATGATACAACAAAAGCAATTAATTTATGATAATCGAATGATGGCGGTCAAGCGATATAATTTTGATGGAGCAGATCAAGCAGTGGACTATCAATGTATTCATAAATGATAATCTCGATAGCTGCAATCGAGTGGTGGTCTAATCGTAAATGAGCGGTAGTCCAACAGTGATGTTGCATTTTGGGCAACAGTGTGATGGCGGTGTAGTGCATGCCTGTGGTGGGAAGTTGTGTTTTGTAACATAACTTAGCTAAGTGTGATGGCCACCATAACGCCAGGGTCTGATTTTTTTGAAGTAAAATAAATTTGTAATAGCAATTGCAGCTTTTTGAACATTAATTTCTTCTACAGCATTTTTACAGTTGTTTCTTCAAACACTTGTAGTTGTTCCACACAAAGCCTTCATCTCCCCTCACCATTTTTGTATATAGAGTGGAAGCTTACTTATAAAATTGATATCATTTAAAAATATAGTCAAAATAAAAAATACTCCATTGAATGACCTAAAATGATGCCTTTGACCACAAAATAATTTTTTAATATTTGAGGTTTTAATAATATCAAAATTAAGTGATCTTGAGTTTGTTGGTTTCCTCTCATCTAGACCGTCACTGTGGCTATGTGTACAAAATTTGAAAATCATTTAGTTATTCACTTCATATCTTGAAGTCTCATAATCATGTTTGAGGTGCTTGGTTTGATTCATTCGAATTGGAATCAGATCACTTCCCGTGTTATGTGTTTGTCTTTTCAAGATGCTCAATTCTGCTATACATTTGTTGAAATCAAAATTAAGATAATCCAAAATATTAATTTTAAAAATTTATTTCTAGGACACTTATTAAAATTTTGATCCTATATTCAAAATTTTGATCCTATATTCGACCAAATTATTAAGGCCTCGATCCTTCCCCAATTTTTTCATTGATTTGATCAAACTAAAATAATTTGATGAACAAAATAAGAAAAAAAAAAGAATTTCATCAGTTATGGTAGTTTTGATCTGGAAATATCTCCCAGAAATCATCAGACTGATCAAAACCAACATTCCTCCACAAATATTTTTATCAAAAATAAAAGAATTCTCTTACTAAATCGCTCATATATAAAGATTATGGTGTCCTTTTCATTCGATTTTTGTTATCCTCAGCAAAAACAAGCAGCTGAAGTCGCTCAAAGAATAGAGAGTCGGTCTGCGGGCCAACGGCTATTTAGACAATAGTTATTTTAAATTTTTATGCTCCGCCAGTTTAATTTACCGTGCTTGCTTTATTCTGCTTCTCCAACGGCTACAATTAGAACGGCTTCGGCCTTCTCTTGCGCCGTTGGATTGCCTTATTCGGATGGCTAAGATATTCTAATTATTCGACCGTTGGAATTAGAGTTTACACATCCGCTCAATAAAAAGTCTCCTATTTATTATCTTTACAATCGCAGCACAAAAGAAAAGAGCGACGCCGAAAGGTAAGAAGGCAGAGATAGATTGAGAAGAGAGAAGAGAGAAGAGAGAGACGAAGAAAGGAGAGATCCTTTCTTGTTTTTTCTCAACTCCGGCGTCGGATTCTTCGCAAGGACGGCGTCGAGCCAGAATACTGAATTGGGGGAGTCGCTGAGCACTCGCCTTCAATCTCTATTCTCTTCTGTTTGGTTGGGTTTCTTTCGGCAGATTCAAAACCAGGAAGGAGGAGAAAGCGAAGAAGAGATGGCTACAAGAAATCACGCCGAGGCGCAACACAATCAGAGAAGTAATGGTTCTTGCAACCTTCATGTCTCCATCTTTGGGTTCAGATTCAAGATCTGGACATAAAAATTCTGGTTTCCTTGATTCAGTCTAGAATTTAAGTTCTCCTTTTGTTTGTGCTGTAGTGATGCCTCAAGTGAACATGTATTCAGATTAATTGCTTGATGAACTGAAATTACAATATCCCTTCTTCTTGGTCTGCATCTTTGCGTGGTTTATTTCGGAGTTGATCTTTGTTACCGTTATCAACCGTTTTGATGTCATTTCTTCCATATGCCCAATATCCTGTTATTTTCTCCGAGCTTTTCTAATCTCTCTTAATTTTTTTCTAAAATTCATTTTTACTGCTCCATTGCAGAGGCGGCCATGCCCACGGTTAAGCAGAAGGAAGCTGCTCCTATTGGAGATGCTAAGAACCGGAAGGCTCTTGAGGACATTGGAAATATGGTTAATCTTCGCATAGCAGATGGGTAATAATGAATGTACAAATCATCGTCATACTCATTCCATCTCTGTAATACTTTGTGTAATTATTAAACTTCCTATTTGCAATTATTTATTTTATCAGAAAGCCCGGACATCGCCCAATAACCAGGTATTCTCATATAGCCACTATAAATACTTAATTCGATTATAACTTCATCCAAAACACAATCTAATGCTTGTATGCTTGATTCTAGAAGTTTTGGTGCTCAGCTGCTAGCCAATGCACAAGCAGCAGCTGCTGCTAAGGTAACATTGTCAAGTAATCACAATCTGTAACTGGCTTTTTTATTTTATTTTTTATGTTTTTTCAAGTGCTTCGATCAATGTTTGTTTACAAATTTCCTAGAAATTACCGAAGCAAGTAGCTCTACCTTCTGATGGAACTACAAAGAATAAATCCCCCGTCAAAAATTCAAAGCCTGAGGTAATCATTGATATCAGCCCATCCACGAAACAAAAGAAAAACCAGGAAAAGAAAAGTTATCATGCTTCCTCCTCGAAGAATAAAGTTCATTCCTTAAGTTCTGTGCTAACAGCTCGTAGCAAGGTAAAGGAAATCATATAAAACTAGTATTTTTTTTCTCTGCTTCAGGTCCATTGATTGATTATATGTCATCTCAGATTGCATGTGGGATCCAAGATATTGATGTTGATGATGATAATAATGAGTTGTTCATGTCTGAATATGTTGAAGATTTATACAAGTTCTATAAGCTCCAAGAAGTAAGAGTGTCATCTTATAAACTTGGTTTATATGGTTTCTGCCAACTTATCTCCCATTTTTGTGGTGGCATGCAATGCAGAACTTCTTTCGCCCTCGAGATTATATGAGCTCACAAGTCGACATTAATGCTAAAATGAGAGCCATACTTGCGGACTGGTTGATTGAAGTGCATTATAAATTTGAACTCAGGCCGGAGACCCTCTATCTTACCATGTCTATTATTGATCGATACCTATCTGTCGAGTCAGTTCTGAGGAGAGAACTGCAGCTTGTTGGAGTCAGTGCAATGCTTATTGCGTGCAAATATGAGGAGATTTGGGCTCCTGAGGTATGCAATTTATAGTAAAAATAAGTTCATAAAGCATCATTGTTTCTTTTAGTAAGGTTGTGCTGCAGGTTAATGATTTCATTTGCATTTCGGATCGAGCTTATGCCAGAGAGCAAATACTTAGAATGGAGAAAGCAATTCTAAACAAGCTTGACTGGTGCTTGACATTTCCAACTATGTATATGTTCATTGTTCGGTTTTTGAAGGCTGCAGCTTCTAATAAAGAGGTAAATATTTAATTATATTACGATAAATTACTTAAAATTAATAGATTGATGTTCGAAAACATATTTTTCAATCACTTCTCTGAACGAACTCAGATGGAAAACATGGCGTTCTTCTATGCGGAGCTGGCATTGACACACTATTCAATGGTAATGTATCGTCCTTCAATGGTGGCTGCTTCTGCCATTTATGCAGCACAATGCAATTTGAAGAAGAGTCCACCATGGAACAAAACTCTACAGTATTACACTGGATTCTCGGCGAACCAATTATTGTATGTGTAAAATCCATGCTTTATATTCAATTTTCAGTATTGGGAAAGCATGTAAATTAATATTGTATTTCATGTTACACAGGGAGTGTGCTAAGCATATGGTAAGTTTTCATTCAACAGCACCAAATAGTAAGCTCACTGTGGTCTATAAGAAATACTCAAAAGACGAGCTTGGAGGTGTTGCGTTGCGGTCTCCTGCCACAAAGTTTGTGGAAGATTAAAGTTAGGGGGAGAGCAGCAAGTTCTTCTGTTAATCTGATGGGTTGGGATTGATCATCTGGGTTGGGATTTGGTGATGATATCTGGGTTTTTTTTGGGTTGGAATTACTCTTATCTTGCATGGGATTTCTGCTGCTCGACAGTTTGTCTTTTATTCATAGGCATATTGTGTTTGGAATTTTATTGACTGACTTCGTGATGTTGCACAAAAAACTTAAAATGTGAAGGAAAAAGATTAAAGTATTGATTAAAATGTGAAGGAAGATAAATTGTGAATCTTTTTCATCATATATATTTTTCAGCTTCAGAAAATTTTCAGGTTAATAAATTTCTTGTCCAGTATTGATTAAAATGTGAAGGAAGATAAATTGTGAGTCTTTTTCATAATATATATTTTTCAGCTTCAGAAAATTTTCAGATTAATAAATTTCTTGTCCACTTGATTTGTTTTTAAAAGCTTTTAGGTTAAATTTAGGAGATAAATTTTAAGCTTGACATGAAGGATGAATACACATAACATAAGGCTTTTAGGTTGAGATGAAATGGTGAAGAGCAACACACAACATACGAGCTTTTAGGACACACAACATTTAAGCTTGACATGAAGGATGAATACACATAACATACGAGCTTTAGGATGACTACACACAACATACGAGCTTTAAGTTTGTTGTTCTTCACCATTCATCTCAACCTTAAAGCTCCTCATCTCAACCTAAATGCTCGTATGTTATTCATTCGAGCTCGTATGTTTTGGATGGTGAAGAACAACAAAACATAAGAGCTAGTCCAACAAATTACTTCCAAAACAAACGAGCTTGTAATACACACAACATATGAGCTTTTAGGTTGAGATGAATGGGGAAGAACAACAAAACATAAGAGCTAGTCCAACAAATTACTTCCAAAACATACGAGCTCGTATGAATACACACAACATACGAGCTTTTAGGTTGAGATGACGAGCTTTAAGGTTGAGATGAATGGTGAAGAACAACAAAACATAAGAGCTAGTCCAACAAATTACTTCCAAAACAAACGAGCTTGTAATACACACAACATATGAGCTTTTAGGTTGAGATGAATGGGGAAGAACAACAAAACATAAGAGCTAGTCCAACAAATTACTTCCAAAACATACGAGCTCGTATGAATACACAAAACATACGAGCTTTTAGGTTGAGTTGAATGGGGAAGAACAAAATGGCCAAATTAGTCGAACAAGTACTTCCATTTGAAAATAGGGAGAAGAATTGAAGCTTGAGATGAATGAGAATAGCATATCTTTGGTCAAATTTAACCTATGAAATGTGAAGAACAAAGTACCTAATTACAATTTTCTTTTCCAAAAGGAGCTTGTAAACAACTTACGTGTAGAATGTCCACTTTCTTCCTCAGCATGTTGCACAAAAATTTAATGAAAGAAAATTGATTAACGTAAAGTTTTGAATTTAATAATCTAAAAAAAAATTATGAATCTTTTCCACTTGATTTGTTTTTCATTCTTTTATTTTTTTGTTGATCTCCTATTGAAGCATGAGATGGACAATCGGACAATCTTTTAGGTTAAATTTAGGAGATAAATTTTAAGCTTGAGATGAAGGAACACACAACACACGACCTTATAGGTTAAATTTAGAAGTAGTGAAGAACAGAATGACCAAATTAGTCCAACAATTACTTACATTTGAAAATAGGGAGAAGAATTGATGCTTGAGATGAATGAGAATATACATATCTTTGGTCAAATTTAACCTAAGAAATGTGAAGAAAAAAGTATATAATTACAATTTTCTTTTCCAAAAGGAGCTTGTAAACAACTTACGTGTAGAATGTCCACTTTCTTCCCCAGCATGTTGCTCAAAAATTTAATGAAAGAAAATTGATTAACGTAAAGTTTTAAATTTAATAATCTAAAAAAAAATTGTGAATCTTTTCCACTTGATTTGTTTTTCATTCTTTTATTTTTTTGTTGATCTCCTATTGAAGCATGAGATGGACAATCGGACAATCTTTTAGGTTAAATTTAGGAGATAAATTTTAAGCTTGAGATGAAGGAACACACAACACACGACCTTATAGGTTAAATTTAGAAGTAGTGAAGAACAGAATGACCAAATTAGTCCAACAATTACTTACATTTGAAAATAGGGAGAAGAATTGATGCTTGAGATGAATGAGAATATACATATCTTTGGTCAAATTTAACCTAAGAAATGTGAAGAAAAAAGTATATAATTACAATTTTCTTTTCCAAAAGGAGCTTGTTAACAACTTACGTAGAATGTCCACTTTCCTCCTCAATGAAAGGACTCTCTTCTCAGCATGTGTTGCACAAAAATTTAAAATGTTAAAAAAGATTAACTTAAAGTTCTGAATTTAATAATGTAAAAAAAATTGTGAATTTTTTATGTGAATGAGAGATAATGTACAAAAGTTTTTAGTCCAACAACCTTTGAAATTTGGAAGAATTACTAAGTGGGGGTATTTAGCAATTTCTAGTCCTCATATATTCAACAATTTCTAGTCCTCATCTATCTGTTGTTTCATCAATCTTAGATTCTTTCAATTTTCTAACAACTATCTCCAACATGCATAGACCTGGAATGATTATGCATAGATCACCTTTTTTTGTGTGGTCTGTTCTAGTGACATCACTTCCAGTACTAGCAAGGGCAATTACAATGTTATTAACTTATTGAAACATTAATACTACCTTTTCTTATAAACTCCTTTTGAGAAAAAAAGTTAAAACATTCTAATTCTTCCAACTTTCAATGGTTGCCACCATTGCAACCATTGAAAGTTCGTAGAATTAGAATATTATAATTTTTTTTCCCAAAAAGTGTTTATAAGAAACCCTTTGAAAGTTAGAAGAATTAGAATGTTATATTTTTTTTTCCCAAAAAGATATAAGAAACACTTTGAAAATAAGAAGAATTAGAATATTAGAATTTTTTTTTCTCAAAAGGAGTCTAATTCTTCCAACTTTCAATGGTTGTTGGCAACCATTGAAAGTTGGAAGAATTAGAATGCTATAATTTTTTTTTTTTTCCAAAAAGAGTTTATAAGAAACACCTTGAAAGGAAGAAGAATTAGAATATTATAATTTTTTTCCCAAAAGGAGCTTATAAGAAACCCTTGGAAATTTAGAAAAATTAGAACATTTTTTTCCCAAAAGGAGCTTATAAACTACTTACATAGATGGTCTCATTGAAAGTTCTTACATCAAATCTAATTAATATTACTTTCAAAAGGTAGAATATTACCCTTTGAAAGTTGCATGAATTAGATTATTACAATTTTCTTTCCCAAAAGGAGGTTATAAACTACTTACATGGATGATCCCATTTCCTCCAATTAAAGGACTTCCTTCTCAGCATGTGTTAACCTCGTGCTGCTGCAATCGGATGAATACGTGCCACAAGTTCTTACATCAAAACTAATTAATAGACGAACAAAATTACTTGAAGACCCTTTTTTTCCTCCAAATTCTAAGTATTTAATGTGCATATTGAACTCTAGAGGTGATAATCTCATGGTCGATTAATCATAGAGAGATCAAGAATTTTCTAACTAGATTATTATGTCATAAGTCTTAATGAGTAATTCATTACCTAACATGGCTGCTTGCTTTAACCTATTTTTCCCATTCAAATGTCTTACAAGCCCACTACCATCCACCTAAATGATATTAATGGCTTTGAAACTACATCTCTTTAAAGTGGCTTATATAACCTTTTGCTCACTAATTATTTAATGCATACTTAAGGAAATAAATTATACTTGGAAAGTATTGCTATTGTGCTTGATATGTGCTAGATATTTTGCTATCAATTAAATTATACCTTTTTTTTTTTTTTGGAATTATTTCTCAAATCGTAAACACACTAGCATTTTGCTATCAATTGAAGAATATCTAAAACAACTATATGTGCTAGATATTTTTAGGAGTAGTATCATTGAATATCTGCATCTGCAATATCTGCATAAAAAATGAATAAAGTTAAGATGGACTATGTGGAAGTCGCACCCCTTCATCTTGACACAAGCAGAATAACTATTCAATCTTAAATTCCCCTTTACAAATTCAACATATAGAGTTCTCTAGAGGAATCAAAACAAATCATTTATGAAAAAGAAAATAGCCCTTCATCTTAAATTCCCCTTCATCTTGACACAAGCAGAATAACTATTCAATCTTAAATTCTCCTTTACAAATTCAACATATAGAGTTCTCTAGAGGAATCAAAACAAATCAGTTATGAAAAAGAAAATTGCCACATTGCTCATGCGATCATAACAGCATTGACTTATTTGATAACCATGCATTTTGCAATCAATTGTTGAACAAAAGACAACTTCAATCTACTGTGCTAGAATTTTTTAAGAGTAATATTTGTTTAGTCCAAAATTTAAAAATATTAAGTGCCAATATTTACAAAAACTTTATGATGATTTTAAACAAAAGACAGCTTCAATTGCGTTAAATAAATTCTAAGAGTCATAATAATTGTGATTGAAAAATTTTTTATTCAATTATTCTCACACCCTGGGTCGGGAAGTTTGTACACCCTTGCAACCCCTTGTAACTTAGAGTGTGATGTAAATAGTTGAATATGATTTTTATCTTCAAAAGAAAGATTATATGTAAAATAACAACAATAAATGAAGAAAGATATATTTTATTCTATAAATAAAAAACCAATTATGCAATTGAAAGAAAATTATGAAACAAACTGAAACAAAATTGAAATAACAATAGAGAGAAACAACAACCCAAAACCCAAAATAGCAAATACGATGACTAAAACAAATAATGATAATATAAAAAAGAAATCAAGAACTGAAATATCTGCACATGCGAAGCAGCTCAATAAAACATTTTATACAAAAATATCAACGGGTGAATATGATAAGTTAAACTCAATAAATAACTACTATCTATTAAGATATGTTCGATCATGAACTGGAGCATGCAGTATTATTGAATTTATATATGTTCGATCATGCCCAGCAAATAGAGCGTAAAGACTAAGGAAAAGAAAAAGGAAGAGA